ATAAATAATGAAGATCAAGATTCGTCAAACCCAGGTGTATCCATCCGAAGTAAATAATGAAGATCAAGATTCGTCAAACCCAGGTGTATCCATCCGAAGTAAATAATGAAGATCAAGATTCGTCAAACCCAGGTGTATCCATCCGAAGTAAATAATGAAGATCAAGATTCGTCAAACCCAGGTGTATCCATCCGAAATAAATAATGAAGATCAAGATCCGTCAAATACAGGTGTATCCATCCGAAGTAAATAATGAAGATCAAGATCCGTCAAATCCAGGTGTATCCATCCGAAATAAATAATGAAGATCAAGATTCGTCAAACCCAGGTGTATCCATCCGAAGTAAATAATGAAGATCAAGATCCGTCAAATCCAGTTGTATCTATCCGAAGTAAACAATGAAGATTAATATTCATCACAGTCAGTGTTCTTTACACTGATTTCTGCGCTTTAAGTACAATGTGAAGCACAAACGTGATATGCCACTATGGGTTGCCGTTCATTAATCTCATTGAAGTCTTGCTTGACGGTTTTATTACCAGACGCGCGTTCCATTTTATAACTTTCAAATACTGATTGGACTAAGAAGTGGCAAGTTTGGACAACTTAGCAGGTGCTTCATATTAGCATGTTTAGTGGTCTTCTATTTATTCGTCATATTATTAACAGTGGATATGAGTCTGAGAACTGTTTGAAACACTCGTATAATTTACGCTGAGCTATTTTCCTCGTCGTATTTTGGCTACAACTGACTGAATATGGCAAATTCTGCCTTTCTAAAATTCTAAAGAACGTACACTGAAAATTACATGCACATTTAGAGGTTTATTACAAGGCGGAGTATTGTGTTCTAAAACCTTTGTTAGTATATTATATATTCTGTTTGTGTACACGTGAAACTGTATATCTGCATCTATGTACAATGTGTTTTTGATATTAATTTTCTTTGTTATTTCAAACAACATAGATAATCACATATTTTATTAATGAGTAGTTTAATTAATTTTTTCTCAAGTCGCATATATTTTAGGGGTGCGAGATAATGCGTTTGTCTTAGAGATAATCAGCATAAGATACAAAACACACTTAAAAGTGTATAAAATAGGGAAATAAAACAGTATTGACGAACTGAAGCTTTATATATTTGTTTATGTACTGTATACATAATTCTATTATTATCTTGGCAGAAACTTGAGGAGATATTTTATCAATGTAAAACTTAAGAAGTTCTAGAATGTTAAACAAGACGTTTCCGCGATGTGAAACATTGCTTAATAAAGAAGTACTTGATGCAATGAAGCGAAGTTTATTATTGTTACATATAGGTATTGTTATATAATTAGTGCCATTACTGATTATTTTCTTATAACGGATTCAAGGTATCCTCTAGCAAACAAAAAGTTTCCCTTTTTCAAGACGTGGATTAAAACCACTTTTGGAATTACCGACGATTATCACTGCAAACCTAAGGTAAGACATCAACTGTAACAATGAAGTTATTGACGGGTATGACTGCAAACCTAAGGTAAGTCATCAACTGTAGCAACGAAGTTATCGACGGGTATGACTGTAAACCTAAGGTAAGACATCAACTGTAACAATGAAGTTATTGATGAGTATGACTGCAAACCTAAGATAAGACATCAACTGTAACAATGAAGTTATTGACGTGTATTACTACAAACCTAAGGTAAGACATCAACTGTAACAATGAAGTTATCGACGTGTATGACTGCAAACCTAAGGTAAGACATCAACTGTAACAATGAAGTTATCGACGTGTATGACTGCAAACCTAAGGTAAGACATCAACTGTAACAATGGAGTTACCGACATTATCACTCCAAACATAAGATAAGACTTAAACTGTGACAATTATTATATCACTAGAAATATATATTTAAAAGATATAATGGTAAAATAAGCATTGAGCTCAGTACAGTTACTGATTGTTTTCTTAAAATAGATTTAAGGTATCCTCTAACAAACAAAGCGTTTCCCTTTAATTAATCGATTGATAATCCACCCTGCTCTGCAGATAGTAAATTGATCAAAATATTGAAAAAAAGTAAAATACATAGTAATTGGTCTTTTGAAGCTAAATTATAAGGAAAAACATCCCTAATTTAATCAACAATTCCAGCACATTCTTGATGTTTTAAAAGCACTGTATAAAAAACAACAACACATATTTGAGGTACTATATAGAGGAAACGAGTAGCATGAAATTAAAGCCTTTTTCTGTCATTGCAAACTATCTTATCTTCAAACTCATAGTAATAATAAAACTAAGCTTCACACTAGAAAAAACACCGCGAACAGAGTATATTTTAAAAAAGTAGCGAAGGACGTCTTCGCTATTTTTTTACTTGAATGTACGAACACTTGCAAAACACATTATATTGCATTGCATTTGAGATACTTTTAGAACATAGTTTCTAACACTTTTTACTTCATATTTACTTTCTATCATCTAAACTTTTGGTAAATTAGGTTATTTGAAAGATCAACAGGAGATACACACACACACATATATATATATATTCAATATGTAGCAACTACTTAAGTGGTTAATACTAATGATTCAGTAGGTTAAGATCTAAATGCTTTTTTTGTTTTATTAAATACGGTAGCACTAAACCATCATGTTGAAGAGTGCTCGCTTCATTCACTAACACACGACATGATTACACAAAGTAATGTGTCTTACTAAGAAAGGTTTTAACAGCAACACTTCTTAATGCAATAACATCATTTATGTAAAGCTTCAAATGTTTGAGAGGACACTTGTGAATCACGTACAGAGCATTAGTTAACAATAAAGAAAGAAACTGGACAAAATCTGTTCACCAAGAATACATATTGGAATAAACGTATATAAATATTGGAATAAACGTATATAAATATTGGAATAAACGTATATAAATATTGGAATAAACGCATATAAATATTGGAATAAACGTATATAAGTATTGGAATAAACGCATATAAATATTGGAATAAACGTATATAAATATTGGAATAAACGCATATAAATATTGGAATAAACGTATATAAATATTGGAATAAACGTATATAATGGCTTTGTTAGTTAACAATGACCATTAATAGAAAGAATGTTTCGAATCAATTTTACAACAAAACTAATAAAGGACGAGGTGCGTAAAGTAACTTATACAGTTACGAGAAACATGATATTGTATAGAATACAATCATTTAATTAACTACATTACAAAGGGAAAGCCTGCTTACAATAAACTTTAATCGCTCACAGGTGGCATGTTTAGCACCTGTATAGATTTCGTGACAAAGTTCCGACCATTGAACAGTGTAATGTTGTCATAGTTGATATAAGACTCAAAGATCATATCACAACTCCTTCTGAGGAAAAATATTCGAATAGCAAAATAGAAAAGAAGTGCAAGGTTCGGACACACCAACTTCCAAGACGAGGAAAGATTGGCAAACCCATACGAGGAAGTATTTACATCTAAACAATATTTCACCAGCTGCAGAACTGGTATACGTATCTAAACAATATTTCACCAGCTGCAGAACTAGTATACCCATCTAAACAATATTCCACCAGCTGAAGAACTAGTATACCCATCTAAACAATATTTCACCAGCTGCAGAACTAGTATACCCATCTAAACAATATTTCACCAGCTGCAGAACTAGTATACCCATCTAAACAATATTCCACTAGTTGAAGAACTAGTATACCCATCTAAACAATATTCCACCAGCTACAGAACTAGTATACCCATCTAAACAATATTTCACCAGCTGCAGAACTAGTATATCCATCTAAACAATATTCCACCAGCTCAATTCTCAAAACTGATGACAGTATCACTAGTATCTTGTGAGACAGTACTATCAAAATTGTGAGTTTGTGTCATAATCCGATACTCATTGGAAAAAAAAAACATTTACATGAAACTACTTATAACAAAGCATATCAGTTAAAACGCACATAAGCATGGGTGTCCAATTAAGTCATTCTTTCACGTTTATAATTATTTTTATTCAGATCAGAAACACCATTTTTGAGTAACAAACAAAGTCACGTTCTAACTTACATAGGTGGCATCACACGTATTAAAAACAATGAAGGAACACGGTGTAACATTATGAAACATAAAATAACCTAAGCTTCATATAAAAACTCTCTCATGGATAACAAGTGACTTGGATAATTGGTGGCAGAATTATTTATTATATTTACGGAACAAAGAACTCATTCTCATTTAATAGAAAGTTTATACATTAAAGAAAAAAAATAAGTTACTATCGCACTTTTATACGCTATTGTAAAAGTTTAAATGCTTTAAATAAGACTCTTTTGTCAAATGTGTTCGTCTTCAACTGTAAAAGAAAGCAGAAGATCAATATCAACAGGATGTGAAGTGGTTTTGATTTGAATGACATATAACAACATAATGTAAAATGTGAACCAAAGACTGAGTTATCGATACATTTTACAAATAGATTTCAAAAGACCTAGAAACTCGAGCGAATGTTGGTTATTCTACTTCAGTAGTAAAAAGGGTAAAGGTTAAAGATATGAAAAAGACGTATACGTTTCAGGCGCAGGGAGTCTTTGTTGAGGTGGTTTACTGACCTCTATATTGAACCTTTCTCGTGAAGTTACCAGAAGCTGTAAAGTGACCATCTTGTTGGTCATTTTCTAAGACGTTGTGAAGCTTATCGGATCTCCAAATTGTAGCATCTTAATGTAGCTTATCAGATTTTCAAGTTCTTGCATCTTAATGTAGCTTATCATTTCCAAGTTGTAGCATCTTAATGTAGCTTATCGAATTTTCAAGTTGTTGTATCTTAATTTAGCTTATCGGATTTTCAAGTGGTAGCATCTTAATGTAGCTTATCAGATTTGAAAGTTGTAGCATCTTAATGTAGCTTATCGGATTTCCAAGTTGTAGTATCTTAATGTAGCTTATCCAATGCAAAAAAAAAAAAAATGCAAATGTGTGTTGCATGGAATTTAACAACAGACCAAGAGCTGGTCTTGTGTAATTTTCCCGGTGAGTTTTTACCCTGGAAATAAATCATTATGAATTGATTTGCTATTATTATATCGTTAGATATAGTAGTTTAAGGCCCAAGGGCAGTAACTTCACATAACTGCGGATAACTTTGACTTTTGAGCATATATAACTTTCGTTTTTAAGCCCGGAGTTTAGTTTTGATTTATTATGATGCGGTTTTTGTCATCTCAATCGATTTCACACATTTTAAAATTTCACATATCTTTCCAAGGAGACCCCGAACTGTTTAACAACTGAATTGTAAATGTTTAGAGAAACAAGTGGTATCCAACAATAGTCTGCAGGCTATGCTCTGAAGAATAATATTTTGATATACTACATATGTCAAAATGTTATCGCTCAGACGAACACTCTATTTTCATTTTCTTAACAACTACAAAAGGCATATCATCATTATGACTTAGGAGTATGCTGTTCTAATTATTCAAATATTTCTTTAGACTATTGGAAATTGTGTTAAATGTTAATTTTAAGAAAACTTCCGTTGATGTTCATCTGTCCAGTTTTGCTATTACATAAAGTTTTTAATTGTCGAAGTCTTTTGCTAGATAAAATGTGTTATAACAAATCTAAATAAGGAAATGAAATATAATTATATTACATAACAGGCCTATACTACTGTCAAGAAACTAGTCAACAGAAATTTGTTTGTATATTTGAAATTAAATACTCGTAGTAACCTCCTCCATATCGGATTAAGAACATAACATCTTTGTGAAATCAGTAAGAATGTATTTGAAATTTACTAAGCAGTTTTGATACCAGTACTATTTTTAAGAATATTCATTTCCATATGCAACCTAAAACAATTGTGCTCGTTGTTATGTTTGTATATGTAGACTATAATTTTCTTCATAAGTGGTACTTATTTCTGTATACATTAATAGTTGATAAAAATTACGATGATGATTACAATATTCAAGCAATAAATCAGGTTTTCCGTGTAATGAAATATTTACGTAAAAATGGGAAAAATATAAATGGCTTCATAAAAGTATTGGGTCAGTCAGATGTGATTTATTTACAGTTTGCCAAAAAAAGAGGACATCAGTACATAAGTACATTAATTTAAGCACATCTGACAATGTTGCCACAGATCCAGTTACGTCAAGTACAAACTCCGTAAAGAACAATTCTAAAGATCGGGTTCTCCCAGATCACAACTACCATGCGATAATAGTCTTGCAACAGTAGAAAAAAAAATGTTTATAGTTTTTGTTGTAAGAGCAGATTTATATGAATCTGAGGACTTGGCTGAATATAATATCACATTTAGTACATAGAGGGTGACAATTTTTATAGTGCGGGTATTGTGGTCTATTGGTCAGCTTCCGGTACAAAGCAGTGTTTAGACAACCCTCTTTCAGTATAAGAGTTTCTTTTAAAAAGTTGATTTGAACACCAGGGTAATCGAAAATGAATTTAATAGAGCTATGGAAAAAGATTACAGGAAATCTTCGTTTCCTATTCAGGTGAAAAAAAACATTTCATTAATGTACCATCCCCAGATTCTTGATTTGTTTGTATAACTTTCTAAGAATGTAATTTCCAAGTCTCCCATAAAAATATTGGCAGAGTTTGGTGCCATTTTGATACTCATAACCGTGACTTTTGTTTGAATAACGAAGAAGTTGTTGTTAAATTCAAAACCACTAAGAGTAAAGAATAAATTATCTAAGTCTACGATTGTCTGTGTGGTAGCTTTGTTAAATTTCAAGCCTTCATCCTGTGTAAAAAGAAGATACTTTCATAGAGCAAATAAGAGTACTTAGGTAGAAGGCCTTTGCGGTTTATTTCGCAAATCAAGCTCAGAAATGTGTTGTCTCTTTAATGTATGATGGTAGACATAAAGGGTGTATGACTAATGTGATTATAGACGTAGGCAGACAAGTGTTCAATAAGCACACCAGCGATAGAAATAAGGTTAATGTCAGCTTAAGATGCTGTATTGGAGGAGATGTTAACGATATCGGAATTGTTTTTAGATTGTGATTGTTTGGACAGAGAAATATATGAATTCTATCAGGAAAGGAGTTATGAGTTTGTTACGAGTTGGCTAAATTTCCCATTAATAAAACAGGTTTATCTATGAGTGCCTCTACTTTGTGAGTTAGTGTCGAAGTTTTGGTTCGTTTTTATTTTCATGCTGAATGGAAAGCTAACGGTGTATTTGGGTTTCCTTACTTTTATTGTTTTTTGCGTGTTTTTCAAGAGCGGTTTTAATTTTGTTGATGAAAACATTAAGTTATTGTAGTTAAGTAAGAAAAATTGTATTTCAGAATTCATAACGACAAGGACCTTGTCAAGGTCGATTATCTTTGTTTTGCAGAAGTCGTGTGTGAGTTTCATAAGTTTAACCGAGGTAGAGTGGAGAATTTGCTTTCGTTTACACAAAATTCATTGTCGTGAGATCCTATAGTAATGGATGATTTTAAATTTAGAAAATTAGGTATGATATGATCCTGTAAATTAAACTCAAACAATTCGGCATGATGGACGTTATCTCAGACATTTTTCACAAGTTTAAGTTTGAAATGTTATTTGATATTAAAATGAGAAAAAACTTGTGCAGTGGTGCAGGAGAGAATAATTTGTTCGAAGTGTGTGGAGGACAAGAGTAAGAGGGTTGGAAGGGATGTGGCATGTAAGCAGGTTCTTTGATTCGGAGTTATGAGTTGAGTAACAGCAGAGGTAGAGGAATTTATAGAAGTAAGAGACTTTGAGTAGTTTAGGCTAGATTGTCAGTGTTAGTCTGCAAGCGAAGTAGTTTTTCAACCGTTATACAAGTTAGTGGATGAAACCTAATTCAAACATACTAAAATCATACCATATTTATAGGTTGAGATAAAAACCGAAGACTTGCCAGCTCCAGTAGTAAACAAGGACTTCCTAAGAGACATCAAGAACCTTAAGGTTTTTTATACTGATGACCCGCAGGAGAGACTCTTTCGATCTCATGGTGAGTGAAAAG